ATTAAAAATATCAGTACATTCAATTATAATTATTAAATAGGTAAGGTATAATATAAATTTTAATTTTATTAAATTTATGATAAAATTATTATTAAATATCTTAATATTTTTTAATGATAAGATATTTTGATTTTATTTTTTATTAAATATTATAAAATTTATTTTTTTAATATTTTAAATAGTATAATATAAAACACATTATTAATATTATATTTTAGTCTCAAATTTTAAACTAAACTTACCATTTTTCTGGCCGAAATCGAACCCTTTCAAGGCTGGCTTACAGCCCGTAGGAGCAAGCTTTTATTTTCTTTTATTTTATTTTTCGTGTGATAATCAGCAACAAAAGAATGAAGAGATTGATGCCATTCTTCAAAAAAATACAGGATTACAAAGATGAGCAACAAAAGATGATACAAGGATTACTTCAAATCCAACAAAAATATAGCCTCTAAAATGAAGGAAAACACAGAATTACAAAGATAAGCAACAAAAGAATGAAGAGGTTGATGTCATTCTTTAAAAAAATTAAGAAAGTGTCATTCTTCTTATACAAAGGGAAGCTGAGAGAAAAGCTTATATATACAAATGAATTACTCACTCACACAACCACAGGTTAAGTTACAAGTATTTGCATTTGTTACAACAATGCACAATCAGGGAGCATTCTACAGGTTGACAGGATACACAAGAAGCTGAAGCAGTTGCCTTTTTCCTCTAGTTCTATGACGTTCCATTACGATCTCCACACCCTCTGCCTTGACATTTCTTAACAATTTAAACACTCCATTGGATTCTTATCTGAGTTTTATTTGGTAGACTCGTTTATGGCAAATCGAATTGTCATGTGGAAGAGATCATGCTTTTCAGGTCTAACATGCCATTTAAAAATGCCGTTGAACTTTCCTGACAGCAAGTTGCATTACAAGATACTTATCTTCTGGTATTGAAAGCAGTATGTCTTTCAGGTTGGGAATGTCTTTCTCTGCAAGTATTATTGAGAATGCCTCCCAATCCAGCCCTTCAAAAAATGGGGTACAGAATTGTCGGAGATTTACAGGTACACACTCATAAAAGATGGCTTCATCCGCCTGCTGGCTGTTGACCGCATAACCTTAGGGGCAAATGCAGTACTTGCTAATTTTCATGTGCTGGATGTAATTCATTTTTGCTTTCAACACCCCGAGGCATTGGACCAAAGATCTTCATATCATGGTCTTTTATCCTTCCAGTATTTCAGCAAGATTAGCTGTACATAACCATGATTACTTCTGGCATAGAAGGCAAGAATTTGTCCCCTTGAAGGTGGTTTTTGCCCAAAGATCTCTAAGAGGATTTCTTGCAGACCGGACCGGATATATGTTTTTGGAAGAGAAACATCTGCATTGCAGAACGCTGTGATGCAATGCTCCATGTGGTGCCTTGTTTCATAGGGGGCCTACAAGTAGAGTGCACATTTTTCAAATATCATGAATAGATGAGAAGAAGGAATGAGGTACTGAGCACAAACCCAATCATGACAGGCAACAAGAAAATGATCTGTTCCTCCAGTAAGGATATTTTGCTGCAATTTTCTATTTTCCCCCCACTTCCATCAAGCAAACGGCGCCTTAATCTATGTCTTAAATTATCAAAACCGTGATCTGGAATAAGTGTCTCCAACTAGGCCTTTATCCAGTAAAGTAATTCATGAGTCACTTGCAAGCTACCCAATTCATATTTCATAAATTCAGAACATAAACAGTTTAATTTGAGTACATCAACTAATTATTTACAAACTACATCAAAACAAGACCTTAGTACTTTACACTCATCTGGATTTTATCTGAAAAATTCTATTGTACCATACTGAGTGAAGGATCATATGAAATAAGTCATACTTCACAGGCTTTTTGTGCCAAAGGAAATGCTGCTGCACCAGCTTTACTCTTGTTTGCATCTCTAAGTACTTCTTTTCTGGAATAGAGAGCAGAATGTTTCTTAAATTCAGGATATCTTTCTCTTGAACAAAAACTGAAAATGTCTCCCAGTTCAATACCTCAAAGAAAGGAGGCACGTAATTATCTGATATGATAACTGGCACACATTCATGATAAATGGCCTCAACTACTCTTGGAGTGTGGACTTCGTATCCCCTGGCACATATGCAATACTTGCTACTCTTCATGTGCTCACGGTATTTTTTTTTGCCTTCAATGTCACGAGGCATTGGTCCAAAGATTTTCATGTCAGGTTCTTTGTTCTCCCAGTGCTGTAGCAGAATTGGTCGAAGATAACCGTGCATACTCCCTGCGAAGAAGGCTAGGGTAGGTCGTTCTGAGGGAGGTCTTCCTCCAAGATCTTCTAGAGGGGCCTCTGCAGAACGTATGTATGTAACTGGTAAGGTAGTATCCTTGCCTATTTTAAAGTCCTTAGCAGCATTGGCATTGCAAAGAACTCTGAGACAGTTCCTCATATACTTTGTCAATTTGGGGGCCTGAAATTTCATAAATCGCATTAATGCAAAAACTAAGAACATTCACAAGGATCGTATTGCTGGAAAAAATAGACTTGATTTGGCCACGAGAAGATACAAGAATAAAGGAAAAGCTAAAAGATCAGCACGCTCAAATCAAGACACAAAATTTGTTATGTAGATAGTATATAGATAGCATACCCAATCATGACAAGAAACAAGAAAATGATCAGCCCCATCAGTTCTGTTCCAGAATCTATATCTTCCCCCAATTAACTCAACATAGTTCTTCAGGTATTGCTGTAGGTCCTTGTAGCCTTGAAAATTTTGCCCAAGTGCAGTCCTTAGTATACTTGCGCTGAAGGGTAAGTAAAACAAGTGAGCTCTTCTGGGGTCCCTCACAGCAAACTTTTTGTTTCCCTCCATCAGTTTCATAAACCACCCTTCTGAGGCGTAAATTCCCCTCCTCTTCGGCTGATGGAATATAGGCTTTGCTCCTTCTTTATAGATGTAAACTTTAAGCATGTCCTCCATCAGATCATAACTCCTATAAATGATGAGCATAAGAATTTTAGTAGCTAGCATAAGATGATATTGGCATGTTCAGATGTTCTTAAGAATAGATTCAGTGCTCACCTTATAAACTTGGAAATATTCCAATAAACTGAGGCATAAAGTCCAGGAGTGTTTCTTGAAATAGCAGCATTCTCAATTTTCTGTTTTGCAGATAGAAGTTCACGATCACGTACAGAAGACCGTCGTGGCCGCTATTAGGAAAAAAGGAATGAGTGAAAAATCCAAAACCCTAACTCAGCTCTTGTATCACAAATTTAGACCATGTCCAAATTCTTACCACAGAACGAGAAGAAACAACACTGTGGAGCAATATCGAATTCATCCGGGATATTGAGACTGGCTGCATCTTCCAGCTCTTCAATAATGGAGTAGATGACACAGAATTATTGGTTAAAATAGCTGATACAATTGGTGACAGGTTAGGATTCTTGCCTTGTGTTCCTGTGGTTTGTTCCACACTGCCTGCTGAAGACATCCTGCCATTGAGGAATGAGCTAGAAATGTCATAATTCACATTCGAGTTTCCAATGCCCTTAGAATTTCCTGCAATTGTAATGTCCTTAATCACTATACTCTGCTTCTTTGTAAACTCATTGCGGTAAGAGTCATCCAGGTTTTTGCTAATATCCGATTCAGGATAATAAACCAAATTTGCTGCCCCATTTTTGTTCCCATAATCAGTTTCTTCCTGAGAATAGAAGCCAATAGTATTATTCATTACCACACCAAATGTATAGGGTTTAGTTGATCTTAAATTGCTAAATAGAGTGGCATTGTTAACCAGCATATCTACAGACTCCTCTTTAGCAGACTGAGGAGAAGATCTTCCCTGATAAGAAAGTGCAAAACACTGGAAGACAATCACAACAACTGCAATCCCAATGATCAAAAGCAGTCTCCAAATTTTGGCATGACATAACCCCTGAACTAGGACAAAAGTATCCATAGCGTTCAGCATTCAGTTACAAGATACCCATTTCACCCTAATGTCTGGATCAAAAAGGAATCTTGAAACACCCACAAATTTTCCCAACATAATCAGTAGTTCAAAGTAATGGAGAGCAGAATCAAAGACGTCAAAGCTCAAAACAATGGTAACCCAGTAAACACAAATCTACTACCATCTCCTCTCCTCAATTTCTCAGAACAGCAATGACATGTTTCCCTGAGAAAAAACAAGGGTCCAGTTTCATGTTTTTTCAAGCATTACAAAGGCAAAACAGTAAGTACCTGTGCAGAATCCTCCATTCTCAGACCTGAGCAGCTCTCCTTCTTCACTGCTTTTCACAAAAAAAAATAAAATCAGTGGAGAACAGTAGACAATTGCCCCTTTTCTCTTAAAATATGACGATTAAACCATTTAAAACTGACACATGACTCTTGATACGGTGTCGTTTTCCAGTCATGTTTTCGACTCTCCCCTTCAGGGCTTAGCAGCGGGCGGCACAGGGAGCCATTTTCCACTGATAATGGCGCTGAAACTGCCCATCTCATTTCCCATTTTCGTGCCGCCGTCACTACAAACTACGTTTCCATGCCCATACCTGAACTCGCCGAGCCACCACCGGCCCACCGAGATCCGTTTATCGAGGTGGAATAACGCAAACGCCGAGAAATTCAATGAGCGGCGGCGTGCCCAGAAGGAGATTGAGGATGACATCCGCCGCTACCGCCGCTTCGACTCTGCCAACAAAATTGCCACCCTCGACGACTCCGCCGCCACGTCAACAATCGGAAACCAGAACGGAAGGTTTAAGTCTCTCGGAACGCCGTCTTCTCCGTCGAAGCCTTCGATCCCTGGGAAGAAATCCAAGTACTCCAAACCCCCCGACCCCCACCCTGCGATTCGTAAACTCTCTAAAACCGCAATTCCTCCTCGGCGGCAACCAATCGACAAAGAAGTGAATGTTACCATTGCTGAGGACGGAGTCTCTTATGTCATCGACGGCGCCCCGTTTGAGTTCAAGTACAGCTACACGGAGACGCCGAAGGTGAAGCCGCTTAAACTAAGAGAACCGTACGCGCCTTTCGGCCCTACTACCATGCACAGGCCGTGGACTGGCGGTGCTCCGCTGCCACCCAGTAAGAAGAAGTTGAAAGAGTTCGATTCTTTCGTGTTGCCGCCCCCTAATAAGAAGGGGGTCAAGCCCGTACAGAAGCCCGGTCCTTTCTTGCCAGGGTCTGGCCCCAGGTATGTGAAGTCGAGGGAGGAGATATTGGGAGAGCCATTGACGGAGGAAGAAGTTAAGGAGTTGGTTAAAAGCTGTATGAAGTCGGAAAGGCAGTTGAATATGGGTAATTGTTTGATTATATATTGCGTTTTGAGTTTGATTATCGAATTTGATTGATTGCTGGCTTTATTTTGATTAGTTCTAACTTGTTCTTGGAATGTATATGTTTCTTTTGTTATCAGAATTGAAGAGATAGTAGTATCTTTGATTTTCTTGCATGTTATAGGATTTAAAGCTGCAAGCATTAGCATTACTTGGTCTTTGAGGATGGAGCATCCCTGGTTTAATTGGTTTCGAATATTTTGTTTTCAGGTAGAGATGGTTTGACACACAACATGTTGGATAATATACATGCTCACTGGAAGCGGCGAAGAGTGTGCAAGATAAAATGCAAAGGAGTGTGTACTGTTGACATGGACAATGTGTGCCAGCAATTAGAGGTTGGTGCTCTGGCTGCCGTCATACTCTTCTGAGATTTATTTATTTAACAATGTGTGTGCTTGTGGTGTTTTTGTATGATATTCAACATTCACCACTTGTTTGACTCTAAAGTATTCATATTTTCATTTCATTATTGAAAGCATGTTAGTTGTTTCTTTGTTCTTTGTGTTCATCTATTTGGTTATGAAATGAGAGACTTGTTGATGCAACTTAATTGACTCTAGAGCATACTTGATGCAACTTGTGATTTTTTTTTCTTCATAGCACCATTTGACTTAATTGAATTGTTTTCATCTTCCTAATTTTGCTTGAGTTTTGCAGGAAAGAACAGGAGGAAAGATTATTTACAGAAGAGGAGGCGTGCTATACCTTTTCCGAGGCCGAAACTACAACTATAAAACCTGTCCTCGATTCCCACTTATGTTGTGGAAACCAGCCACTCCTGTGTATCCGAGGTTGATTCAGCAGGTTCCTGAGGGTCTAACACTAGAAGAAGCTACTGAAATGCGAAGGAAAGGACGGGAGTTAATGCCAATTTGCAAGCTAGGTAGACTGTTCATGAAATCATGACCATTAAATGAGACTACAAGGGAATTCATCAGTTTTGCCCATTAAAATTCTTAAATTAGTGTTTTAAATGTTTTGCAGCGAAGAATGGTGTGTACTGTGACCTTGTGAAAAATATAAGGGAGGCATTTGAAGAGTGTGAACTGGTCCGGATTAATTGTCAAGGGATAAAGGGTAGTGACTACCACAAGATTGGTGCCAAACTCAAGGTCTGTGGATTTGTATTTTCTGTTATACCTTATTCTCGTATAAATTGAGTTACTTCTGAGAGATTAAGTTTGATTCCCTTAATTCATTAATTGCAGGATCTTGTCCCATGTGTTCTAATTTCATTTGAACATGAACACATACTCATATGGAGGGGACGGAATTGGAAGTCCTCTCTTCCAAAACCAGAGGTAAACTCATGGCTCCAAAATGTAAGTACTGCCGATTTTGCAACTTCAGTAACCACAGAGATGGAAGGTCCAGAAAAATCATCATCTGGTAACCAAACACCAATAATAATGAATGCAAATCTCACCATACCAAGTACTAGCCCACCACATGTAAGTTCTCAAGAGATGTTTGCAGAGCAAATCGAGGACCTCTCTGACATTGAGAGTGATGGCCCATATGTATCAACATGTGGTGATATCAGCTACACTGATGAAACAGTGTTGGATGTTACCAGCTACACTGATGAGTTAAAAGGCATGGAGAGCACCCATGGAGGTGTGTCAACTTGTGGTGATTCCAATTTTGCTGATGATGAATTGGAAGCTATGAGCAAGAACTATGTAGGTGAGAAAATGTTGGATAATACAGGCTCTGTAAATAAAGCTCCAGTAGTTATGCCATTGGAAAGTGCCCCCGTGCCTAGAAGTGCCGAGAGCACTGTGAATGAATTGGAGCCTTCTGATGTAGGTTCTATAAATCACAAGAAGCTGCAGTATGTTGCAGAAGCCTCTGAAAATGGCAACAGGACAACAAAATTGGACACACGGTGTACTGAGGGAGTATTACTTCTCTTGAAGCAGGCTGTTGAAAGTGGCAGTGCAGTTGTCTTAGATGATGCTTCTTTGGATGCGGACAAAATTTATGAAAGGACAGTTGTCTTTGCCCGGTCTGCACCACCTGGGCCTGTTTTCAGGCGTCGACCACGGAAGGCAGCAGTTAAGAACAGTGAAAAGCAAGAACCTGATGTTTTGGAAGTGAAGGAAGTTGCACCAATTCGCAAGAACAGTGCAAATCAGAAGCAGACTTCCAAAATTCAAAGAAGGAAAGACATAGAAGAACGTTATCTAGATGTAGTACCAAAGGGAACCCTGAAGATTGATGAACTTGCTAAGCTATTAGCATAAATAAACTCAAACCACTTCTTTGCCCTTTTTGTACATAACCCTCGATCCCTTAAAGCCTGAGAACTGTAATTAATTTGAATCAAAATTGCAATGTTCTCATTCAATTCATGTTCATTGCCGTCGGAATCCCATTAGTTTGTCATTCACCCTAGGCAGATGCACTCTCTCGGAACTAGGGATCCTAGGATCCATGACCTGATGAGAGGGCAAAACGGATTGGAAAGAGTTGTCTCTCGCACGAGATGCAAGATGGTTGATCTTTGAAACCTTAGGTTAAATAGTTCATCCAAAACAAATACCATGAAAATCATCCATGTTAATGTAGAACATTTGAAAGAAGAATAAATTATTTAGAGAACTCTCAAGAAATACATGTGTTGCCAATGAACTGTGGACACAAATGTGGTTATCCTAGATGTTCTCTCTTATGGTTGTTTTGCTTCCAATTCCCTTTCGCTGCCATCACCAACAATCTTCTTCCAGAACCAGTGATTTTGCCACAAAAGATACACTTCCTCAATTGGAACTTGCTTGGTTTCCGGCAACAGGAAGAAAATGAAGCTGCTCATTATGAAGATCAGTCCAGCAAACAGCAAGAAAATACCATACTTGAGATGGCAGAGCGAGACAAGGAAGCACTGTGCAATCATGGCGGTGAAGAAGAGGTTGACACTCACCACCATACTCTGCCCTGCTGACCTTGTCTCCAAGGGAAAGAGCTCACTCGGAACCAACCACCCCAGAGGCCCCCATGACCTACCGTAGGCCAACACGAACAAACAAATGATGATCACAAGGAACATCCCTAGGCCTTTAGGAAGCTCCTGTCCTTCACCAAACTTCAATGCTAGAGTAATTGCTACGACTACCTGAATCAATCAAGCAGTGAACAGAAGTAAACACCGTATTCCTCTTAACAACCAAAAACAGAAGAATCTGTGCTCGATTTTCTTACCATGTAACAGAACATCTCAGCTCCAGCTTCCAAGAAGAAAGCTCTTCTTCCGAATTTATCCACAAAAGCCATTGAAATGAGTGTGGCGACAACAAGCGCTACGCTTGTAATAACAGACGAGTAAAGAGCTGCTCCCGAACCAAAACCCAAGCTCTGAAACATCACAGGAGCATAGAAGAGAATAGAGTTATTGCCAGTGAGCTGCTGGAACGCCGGAATCCCCAAGGCGCCGATTACCAGCTGGGGACGGTTCTTCCTCTGGAGAAGGTTCCTGAATGGGTGCTTTACAGCACGAGCTGCCTCGCTAGCCTCCACCAGATCAGCGAATTCAGCATCGACATTGGGGGTTCCCCTGATTTTGATCAACACTCTTTTTCCTTCCTCTAACTTGCCCTGTTCCACAAGGCTGTTAGGTGTCTCCGGAAGGAACCAGCCTCCTACGAACATCAGAACGGCCGGAATGGTAGCTAATCCGAGAGACAATCTCCAACCCCATGGATGAATCTTGTCTGTTCCGTAATTGATGAGGGTCGCTACCAAAATCCCCAAGCACGTTGTCAATTGGAAAAGCTGATTCACCGCTCCACGGATCTTCGCCGGAGCTGTCTCCGATAGGTACAAAGGAACCGCCTAAAAATCATTAAAAATAAAATAAGATAAAGGTAGCAATTATGGAAAACAAAGATTTCTTTCTTTCTTTTGGTTGGTGAGAGCATTAATTTGTCCTACTTGATTGCCAAATCCAATTCCCGCGCCAAGCAAAATCCGTCCGATGATAAGCATCAAGATATTGACGGCGGCGGCATTTAAGATAGCACCCAAGAAAAAGCTGACCGCTCCGACAAGGATACTGGCTCTTCTCCCCTTAGTTCTGGTAACATATGATGCTCCGAAAGTGGAGACAAGACCTGCGAAGTACAGAGACGACGTGAACAGTGTCAGGATCTGACTGTCATATTTACAGTAATCTGTCTCCTTCAAATGTTCTTGCTTCCTCCTGTAGATTTTCGGGAAAAACTCCTTCAAAAAGTCATCCATGGATGTCACACCCCCTGCATCCAAAAACAAAAAACCCCTTAGAAATTGGAGAATCCCAAAATCACAAAAACAAATGCTCTCTAAATTATGTAAAATCTCAATGATTATCATTGTCAATTCAATATCCCATCATATAACGTGGCTTTAATCGAAATATTAGATATCATTGTCAAATCAATATCCCATTATATAACATGGCTCTAATGGAACTATTAGATTCTCTAAATTATAAACGACAAGATTATCAATTTCAGATCTGAACACATCCATAGCATACTTCTATAAAAAAGAAATGAAAAGGGGTTAATTTTAATGGGGGAAAGACTGACCGGAAACGCCAAGATCATAACCGAAGAGGGAGCCGCCAAGGGCAGCGACAATGCAGGCGAAGATGAAATAAGGGGTGATTCTGTACTCGTAAAGATGAGCTCTTTTCAAGTTTCCGGCATCTGTAAAACCCCCACCAGCCATTTTATCTCCACTCTCCTCTTACCCTCAAGCCCTGGATTCTGTATAATTTTTCTCCCTGTTAGTGAAGTCTTGAATTCTGAAGAAAGAACAACACTTTCATGGGAGAAAAACCGAGATCGTCTGGCTAGAAACATACAAAAACAGGGTTTGTTTTATAGTCGATCTGGTCAACCTGTTTGCGAGAGGGATGGAAAATCAACTCTAATTATGGAAGCTTGAATTATTCGTTTATTTTACAACAATAAAATTCCAAAAATTATACTACAGTAGTATTATCATACATCTGTCAGCAATTCTTATCCGCAAAACTAAATATAGCCTCATTAAAATTAGTATACTAGTACTTACTTTAAAAAGTTGGGCGGTTTTATCCAACTATAAAATATAATATCAATAATAATTTAAATAGTTTAATAATTTAATGATTATTTTTTATTAAAAATAAAAAATTTTAAACTCAAATAATATAAT